ATGGTTCGGTGCGCAGGCCTCTTTTTGTTAAGACCGTAGATGATATCTGTAGTGAGAAGAGTGAGTGCAAACGTGGTCGAATACCCGGGCCGGAATCCATGTTGATGATCGGCTAGGGGCAGGTGTTGGGTGATAATAGGTAACAAACATCTTTCTAGTACTTTGATGGCGAGACAAAGCAGGGAGATTGGGCCTTTAGTGTTGAACAGAGGCGGTTTACGTTAGTATGGCGGTTGAAGGTAGAGATGTATTGTTTCAATCGGGCTTTTTTGTTTTGGTTGGTGAGTTGGTGGATATGGCAGTAAGAGCTGCTACATTGTCGGAAGTGGGGTCGGCGGCACGGAGGATGTCTCGCTGTCGGGTGAGGTTGATGATATCTTTGGAGAGGCCCGACTTGGAACAGATGTGACGGCCTGAAGGAATGTTACGGTTGCTTGCGCTGAATAAAATTTTACGAAACTAATGTTCGGCTGTAGACAAGTTGGCAGGGAAGACGGAGTTTTCGAAGGCGGCCTCGGTGTCGGCAGTGTATTTTTCCCAGTCGGCTTTGGCAAAGTTCGTGAAGGTGATTTTCGGGGTCTTGATTGTCTGATAGTCTGCTTGCTGTGTAATGATGATTGGCAGGTGGTCGGATGACAGAGTGGTCATGATGGTCCAATCCATGTGGGTGATCAGGGTATCTGAGGCGTTTGAAAGGTCTAGCGAGGAGGGTTGTCCTGCGGTTGGAAGCCGGATTGGTGTGTCCAAATTCAGCGTCCCGTGATCAGAATCGCCGATTTCATTCGCCAGTTCTTCTCCACGCGTGTCCTGGATGCGCGAGTGCCAGTGGGGGTCGTGTGCGTTCAGGTCGCCAAGTATCAATGAGTTCGGCACTAATTGCTCTGAAGTTCGGTGGGCAGGACGATTGGGGTGGGGTGTAGACATTAATGATAATAAGATCAGTGTTATTGGCCTAGATGGTTGTCGCCTGTTTTTCGATTGGGTTATGGTCTGGTAGCTGCTTAATAGTGAACGTGATACTGTTGTGAATCAACATCGTCAGGCCTCCACTTCGTCCCGTGCTCCTATCTTTGCGGAAGACAGCAAAGTTTTCAAATTTCGGGTCTTTGGAGCGGGAAGATAGTTTTGTTTATTGGATGGCTGCTACTTGGATGCTGTGGGTGGCCAGAAAGAGTTCGATTTCGTCAGATTTGTTCTAAAATCCGTTACAGTTAAACTGGAAAATCTTCAGGGTTCCAGTGGGCAGTGAGCTGCGACGCTCAGGCGGAATGGCTGGGGTGGGCGGACAGGCCCTGAGTGCCCGGACGGCGGGTGGGGAGAGGGAGGAAGAGGCCTTGGGCAATTGTTGCAAAGATAGTAGTTGTTAATTTGCGTTGAGCAGGCGACCGTGTGGTATCACTTGGAGCAAGTCAGGCAGCGTAGGGAATATTGCGTTTTGTTTGTGGTTTTATTACAAACTGCGCATATGCAGATTCGCGGCCCAGGGTTGGGATTTATTCCGGCCATTAAAAGAAGGATCCGGAGCAGGCTTGCCGGGAGAGACCGCTGCGGTGGAGAAAACCCTGCGCGGCGGGACGAGGCAGGGAGGGGTTCTACAACGGTTTGCTGGGGCGTCGGTAGACGACCCAGACGGCTCCACCACGAGAAGGCCGTTGCACCAGAGCCCATTATTCATTAATAAACTATGATGAAAGGCGAAAATTCTGCCTTCTTCGTTTATTGGTGAATCGCGAGATTGAGATCCTACGTGGCGTAAATTACATTCAATGATATAAATTGTTACATAGCAAGATGCTCCGATTTCAACTAATGGGAAGTTTAGATTGAACTTTAATGAATGTAAAAAACCATAGTTTACATTAAGTTTTATTGGTTATTGTTTTTATTGGCGGCCATAACACAGTAAAAGCTTTTGCGTGGTGATCACACTTGTTTAGAAAAAAATTCAATTTGTAACCCTGCAATCCTGTAAAATTAATTTAATTTACGCAAAAAAATCACCATAACAGGAAAGAATTAAGCCGGTCATTATGTTTGATTGCATTGAGATTACGAAGTCCAAAATGCGCCTAAAATTTTAATGTTGGCACACAAGCTTCAGTTGTTTTCAAATTCTTTAAGCAACTGTCTGGATGTGTTTTGGTCTGACTGGCCCGATAATATATAACTATCTCAAAGTTCAGTATTGATTAATAACCGGTTGATCTTCTTAGGTTTATTTGAGTTGAGGGTCCAAGGGTTCGTATCTAAGGTCCGAATAAGCGGCAGGTTGACTGAGAGGCTAGTTGTCTAATAATATATTTACGAACTAGATAGGAATACAAGGAAGCTTGGTGGTTATTACACAAGGTAGGTTTTAGATGGTTACTCTAACGACGGAGGCTACTCAACGCCGGAGTCTGGCCGTGATCGTGCGGACTACATGGTGATGGCTTTACTACGTCTCGCCTGTGACTGCCTAAACTGACTGAAGGTCCGCTCGGGGAGCTTAGATAGGCATGCTATAGTGACGTCACGGAAGTGACGCAGTAACTGCTAACACAAGTAAAGGGAGTTACGGTAGACAGCCTGACACAACCATAATAGAAAATTTTCACACTTTATTATATTTAAAATCGTCTGAAAGATATATTTTGAAATTTGAAAACGTTAGGGGAATAAGAAGCAGCATCTGAAGCCCTTCGCATCTCGGAAAAAATAAGCGCAACCGCCATGGATAATTAGAATTAAGTAATTATAGCCAGTTTGGCTGAAGATACGGACGACAATTGTCAGCTAGAGGCTAGAAAATATATGAATAACTATCAGAAAAAAAAAACAAAAAAACTAGTGGCTTCTTTTTTCGATATCTTCAATTGAACGTCATTCGAGAAACGCTTACCAGGCAAGCTCGAAATCACTGGAAACAGCAGACTTTTGAGGGCAGCTGGAAGAACTTTCCCTCAACACGAAATACAGATACACTGGATGCTCCATGCTATTAACACAGATTCTGCGTACAAGCTGAGACAAGCCTTGGCCCATGAGCTCTGCCAAGCTGCTCAGTGGATAATTGATGGAGACGAGGGCAACCACAGCCCGGTTTGAATCCATAAGCGATAAAATGAATTGGGATATTCCTACTTTTTTCATCTTCCTTCCTCATGGAGAAACAACATAAGCGGACATATCCTAACCTCATTGGCCGCAAGAAGTTAAAGACGCGGTAAATGTGAGATGGTAAAGCTGTAATTGATAGCTAGAAGGTGTAGCGTCAAGAAGTAAGGCCACAAGAGATTAGGCCGGAGTACGTGTAGCCGGATGCAGAAGAACCTTCTTACGAGCGAGGATGTAACTACGGACGGCTCTTGGCTCTGAACCTCTAAAGCTGAGTGTAATTATTGCATGTTGATATATGTGATCTACTGCTGCACCGCCACGTCTCGGACAAATTTACGGCAGGACTTGCGGCCGGTCTCAACAAATTCAATGAGCAAGGAATATCTCCCAAAGTAATGAATGTACGTGTACGGCTCTTGGTCAATGCAAGTTTAAAAATCGGCCTGAGAAATGCCGGTCGTTTCTCCGTATATCCGTATAACGGTATAACTCGCAAACGAAGGCGAAATCGAACAATTTTCGCCTGCAAAAATTCACGAGCTAAACATCACCGTTGGGAAGTTAAGTATTCACATACCGTGACATACGGAGTTTCGTTCAAATATGTTCAGTATTTTAGAAGAAATTCTATGCTCACTGCGAATTTAAGCACGTACTGCTGTTTAAATCACAAACGTTGGAAAAAACTCGCAAATGAAGGCAAAATCTAAGAAGTTGTCACGAGCTTATCTTCACCGTTGAGAGGTTCGGTTTCTATATTCAAAGTTTCGTTCAAATTTGTACTGTAGCTTTGAATAAATGTAATGCTCGCTGCAAATTTCGGCACGTATCGTCAAATAACTCACGAATTAAGGTAAAATTTCACAAATTTTTGCGAGCTAAACATCACCGTTAACATAACATAACATAATGATGTCGGCGCTGAAATGTAGGCCTGATGTGGCCTGTCGCCGATTCTTTTCCTTTTCGTGCCTTGTTCATAGATCTAAACTCGTATCATTTGATCGGATCTTTTCATGACTGGCGATAGTTTGAAGTAGCTAGTGTAAAAACTGAATTGACTTGAGTAGAGTTGAAGTTAAAATTCTATTTAAAACAGAATTGGAAATTAAAAATACAATGCACGGAAAACACACAATTTTGAAACTGAATTGACTTTGAGTAGAGTTAAAGTTCTGTCAAAAATTACGACTCTAGCTGAGCAAGGGGACTCAGCTGAACAGCTGAGCGAGGGGAGAGGGGTTGGCTGAGGGAATGAAAGGCTCGCGGCAGAGGGGTAGAGAGGGTGAGGGGCAGGATAAGAGTCCGTTAGGTCCTTAAGAGGACGTTAGGTCCTTATGAATACGTGTACCAAGTTTCATCAAGCTACGTTCATTAATTTGTAAGATATTCCATGCTCACCGAATTAGGACACCGGCCGCCAGTCCGGCCGCGAGACCGGCCGCAAGTCCGGCCGTAAATTTTTGTCCGAGACGTGTGGCACCGCCTTCCTTATATACGAATTTTGTCTGACACTCATCATAAATAAATTATGTTCAGAGACTTTATACAATGAGACTTTATCTGAGACTTTATATAATTAGCATTTATAAATTAAATTTGTGGCAAGGCCAATTGATTAACGAGACGTATAATGATTAATCACCAATTAGCAATTATTAGCATCTATGTCCAATTTGTGAAATCAATTATCTGCGTAGAACCAATTATCAGTTAGCAGAATAATTTAGCAGTGATCAATCAGATTCATTATGAGCTGTATCAATTATCTGTTATAGTAATTAATCTTCCGATAGAACTATTTTAAATCCTATAAAAAGCGGACAGATTTTGATCGTCGACCTGACAGTCTCAAATGAAAGAAAAGACGGACGGACCTGTTAGTTGCTCTCCATTCGTGATGGTGTTAGGGGGTGTGGTGGTTCTATCACTGCGTTCTAAATACGTACTTGCTCTTGGGTAGTAATAGGCAGATTCTTTGCGGCTTCCATCGTATCTTTCTTGTGTGAGTACCTTATTTAAAATGTATTATCAATCGCTACAATTATATTGCAGTGGCTTGATTTCCGATAATATTTATAGTGATGTTTTACTGATGAAAGATAAGTGAGTGACAGAGTGTGGTGTGAATAACGTAGGCCGCCAGCGCCTCACCGGTTGCATCTTATCTTTCATTGTGGACCATAGTGAGTCAACCAGAGATTTTTTAGAATCGGTTCATTTTTAATTGTCTCATTTACTCAAGATTCAAACTAATTTCATTTCTTATGTATGATGAATTGATAATGCTGGTGTCCATGTTAGGTACCTAGCCTACTTGTACTTTACTCGTCTACAATAATCATAGTGGCAAAGCAGAGAGTTTTTTAGACTCTACCTCAAGTTCATTTTTGAGTCCTATAAGTAGACCAGTAAAGTGTCCTGGACACCAGCATCATCATACATAAGAACTTAGTTTAAATCTTGGGTAAATGAGGAAATTAAAAATGAACTGATTCTAAAAAATCTCTGGTTTGTTACTATGTTCCATACTAGGGTACCATACTCGACAATTTAGCATTCAAACCTTTAGATTCTGTGAACCTTGTAATTTCTTCATTATTAAAACTTTAGAAGGCTCACAATATATTACCGTAAAAATATTATTATGTATAGTTTTTACTTATCATCTATAAGTTTGGGAGCTTTATCTGCACTTAGTGAGAGTAAACGAGTAACCGAGTAAACACTAACCATCATTCCCGTCACTTTGGCTGTTGCACACGATTGATTCTGCATGTATAACATTTACGATTTACAAAGGTTCAAGTTCAAGCGTTGATTGGATCTTTGTTACTGTGATGATGTAAGCTCTGTTTTTGCCAATGAAACAGCTGTGGCAGCTTGCAGTGACTTGTCACTGTCAGTGATGATGGACTGAAAGTGGAGGTATGCTGGCCTTTCCAGATTTTGAGGTCATGCTTTCTGTTTTGCTATGTCTACCAGTTAATATATTACCCCTCTGGAATTCCACACTGAGTGAGAGTGACTGTGGAGTGCAGTGCAAGGCTGGAAAAGTCATATTTTTTTCTGAAATATTGCTGCTCTAATATATAATTTCAGTAGGTAGGTATGAAATTTTATGGCTCTAATGTCATAAATTTTTTTTGATTGAAGAAATTGTGGTTTGCACTTTGCAAACATGTTGTTTGATAAAATTTTCAACTTACGCTTGCAATCCAAAGTAAATATACTTCAATGCTCCAGCCTCCTGCCAAAATAACTTGCAGAACATAACAAGTAAACTCAAATCATTTCTCACCTCCATGAAGATTGCATAGTTGTGGTTACATGATTACATCACAATGGTCATATGGCATTATCTTTTGTACAGTTGCTGCTTAAGTAAAGACAAATGCTAGTGACTGAATTTTGTATGGGACTTTGTAAATAACATGGGCCTTTGTATGCATGGGATGACGGGAGTGATGGGACTTTGTGAATAAGAAGTTTGCAGGTCATAAATGGCTTCTCACAGCCAAGATATGGAATTCACAGCTGAAAGAAATTGAATCATGGCTGCTGCTGGCAAATCCATGAAGCCACTGCTCAAAGAAATGGAAACAGGGCTGGCAAACCCATGAAGCCACGGCTCGAAAAATCTAGTCGCGGTTTGTCAAGTAGATATATTCCATGCCTGAGCATATAGAACTCAAAAATCACAAATGAATTTGACAGTCTTACTCACAGTCAGACTGAGACTGTGAGACAGAATAAGGAAGACTGCTTATTTTTGCTTGTGATTGGCTCAAGCTACCTCTCCAATCTACAGGACAGCACTGGAATTGGATGCTATATTAAAACCTTACACCTAGAAGAAATTTTTGTTTAGATCTAGAGCCAATTTCTTAAAGATCTTTTGCAATTGGTGCTCTTCTGGTTTGCTCACTTCACTTGACGTCAATTGCTTATTTAAAAATGAACTTTAACTAACTTCAGAAATAATAACTGAACATCTCTATTCTAATTAAACTTTGGCGGCCCATCAATCTCTAAAAATACCTAATCTACTTGATCTCTTCTGCCTCTGTACTTCAGAATTGCCTTTCCAGACCCCAGATAGCAAAATATATCAGCAAATTAACACTTTTACTATGGACTGTCCTTTTAGTCCAGCATTCTATATGTGCGAAATCGAAAACCGAGTGTTAAAATAAACAGATTACAAATTTACTATCGATATGTCGATGACATCTTCATCATCGAGACGAAAGCTAGATGACATGATTGAGCTGCGCGAGGCTTTGGAACTCAATTCTGCTTTGATGTTAACTTACGAATTCCGACAAAACACTATGTTGCCTTTCCTGGACATATTGGTGCAAGACATTAATAATTCCTTGGTCACCAAAGTTTAGCGGAAATTTACAGACATTGGAAAGGCCCTGAGAGAAGTAAGCAAATGTCCCCAGCACTATAAAATCATCACCATACGCTCCCTCATACATCGATCATTCAAAACCTGTACATCCGCTTGTGACTTGAAAACTGAACTACAGACCTGCAAGCAAATTCTTGTCAACAACAGTTATGCGAATGGAACAGTCGACACAGAAACTTAAACTTTCGAGCACGTCAAAACCGAACAAATGAATCCACATCAAAACATTGCGTCACCAAAATTTACAATCAAAACCAAATGAACAGCGGTTTTAGGACAGATGAATGAGTCCTCAATTCAATTGTACCAAATAACAGCTGCACAAAAGTAACTGACCAAATAAAACTCCTGATTTACTACAAAAACAAAAGAATCGATAATTTTATCATGAAAAACCCATGTAAAAAGTCGGGACCACTGCAAGAAACCAATGCTATTTACAAGTTCTCCAGCACGAAAGAAAATTATAGACTTCTCTATAATGTAAATTACAACGGGTTGACCAGCACGACCCTGAGCTGCCGACTCAAATGCCACCTACAAACTGGAGGACCAAAGAACCGCATGCTGGAGGCTCAAAACGGAATCATCACCCGCGTGACATTGGAGGCCTGCACCAGCATCATCATGCGGTGCCCTGATACTACGTACAAGACAAGTGATAGCAGAGGCTTTCGTCAAGCATGAGTTTCCAGCTGTCAATTTGCAAACCACCGGATTTGTGAGGACGTTGAAGTTGTTCTCGGAATAATTTCGAGTTTTGATTTCGAACCATATCTACCATAGCTTCTGTATGTATTTATTTAATTTCCTAGTTTAAAATTTCAAGAGTTGTACAACTCTTCGCCTACTTGAGATCTTTAATAGACATTAAACATTCGAAACGTCGTATTCCAGTAAAATGTCATTTAGTGAAGAACTTCTGCCTATCTACACTAATATCTCAATACATTTTATATATAAGGTGTGCTTTCTGCAGTACAATGGTGCTCTTCATTGTGTGCACTCTTAAGATAAAGTAATGAATGGAGTTAAATTCTGTGAAATCAAATTATGTTAAAACTGAGCGTCATTCTGGCGCTCAGTTTTCTTCCATGTTTGATGCCTCAGCCTTCTCGTGTGCACGAATGTTGTGTTTCTGTAGGTATCCAACACCAACTGTATATTATGGTATCAAATTATATAATACTACCGCATCTCTCTTGAGCGCAAAATGCACGCGTGAAATTCTTTCATTAGCTTAACGCGCTGCATCTGAGCTTCGGGCGTCACGGATCGAGTCAATTTACTGATGCCATTTTCGTCACTTACGGTACAATAATCAACTCCGTTCATAAAATAATATCTGAGGTGCCCTAGGCATCCTGTCAGCTCACTCTTAGTCTAACTTTCTGTCACCACTTACACATCTATGTTTTAGCTTACAATCTAAACGATCAAGTTTTCTCACTATCTGAAATCAATCATATATGAAACATATATATAGTAAACAGCCTGGAACTCCTCCACAACTCTTTTAATTTCGGTCACTTATATTTTGGGAGGCGTATACCGGTATAATTTTTTAGTGGTATTTGCTATCTTGCTGCATAACGGACTGCGCGTGCCATTGGCAGGTTCTTGTAGGCTCGCGAGTGTCAAGTTACCAGTTAATTCCGACGTGCCCGATCCCACGATCCTGTGTATCCAGACTAGGTACCGTTCCGTGGTGGCCTGCCACGCATCCCTAATGACCCGAAGGCTGCAGTCAGCCGATGATGTGTGTGGCTTCTGTTACGTGTGGCTAGCGTTCTGTGTGGCTTCTGTTGCGTGTGGCTAGCGTTCTGTGTGGCTTCTGTTACGTGTGGCTAGCGTTCTGTGTGGCTTCTGTTGCGTGTGGCTAGCGTTCTGTGTGGCTTCTGTTGCGTGTGGCTAGCGTTCTGTGTGGCTTCTGTTGCGTGTGGCTAGCGTTCTGTGTGGCTTCTGTTGCGTGTGGCTAGCGTTCTGTGTGGCTTCTGTTACGTGTGGCTAGCGTTACGTGTGGCTTCTGTTACGTGTGGCTAGCGTTCTGGGTGGCTTCTGTTGCGTGTGGCTAGCGTTCTGTGTGGCTTCTGTAGCGTGTGGCTAGCGTTCTGTGTGGCTTCTGTAGCGTGTGGCTAGCGTCCTGTGTGGCTTCTGTTACGTGTGGCTAGCGTTCTGTGTGGCTTCTGTTCCGTGTGGCTTCGGTTCCATGGGGCTAGCGATGCGCGTGGCTAGCGTTGCGTGTGGCTATAGCGTTCTGTGTGGCTTCGGTTCCATGTGGCTAGCGATGCGTGTGGCTAGCGTTCTTTGTGGCTTCGGTTCTGTGTCGCTGGTATTGTGTGTGCCTGGTATGGCGTGTGGCCGCTCATTCTCTGTTATTATCCATGAAGGCATCCTCGTATGAAAGAATGACTTGCGTGGGGCACGTTTTTCTGTTGCAATTGTCGAGAGAACTAATGAGGTTGCCTCAACTGTAGGCCACCTGCACCTTAACCAGTTAGCTTAATTAATAAGCATCGGGTATTTTAGCGATTCAGTCGAAAAAAAAATCATTTGTGTGCTTCTTTCCGGTTGTCAGAAGGCTA